CTACAAATTACTAGAACCGAGTTCATCATGAAACTGGAAATCGGATTCAACTCGATCCCATAGTTGTTCATCCACTCATCCGAGGATCATCGAGATTACTCGTGATACGATGTGTGGAGTAAATGAAAATGATCTGTTGGAGGGGATTTTGAACAGCACAGCCGAATTCAAAGGCCCCGGCAAACTGAACTGAACTGACTGTATCTGGGCTACAGTCCGTGGGGGCATGTACATTGAGACGACCAGCCGGTTGCATCTGTTGGAGCACAAACCACTCAGTCTCAGTGCGCATAAACGAGTGTCGACTGGGATCCAGTCTAACAGCAGGGATAGAGCTCTTCCTCTCCCTGAGAACATCGCAAAACGAGCCAGAAAAACGAGACGCCGAAGCCTCAGAGTCCCCAGAAAGGTACAAATGAAACTTCGCAGTGTGTATCATTGCCTGTTACTGTACTTTGAAAATTATGAGCCCATTTGTAGGTGGTGATTGATAGAATGGTGCGTGAATTTTTCTGGTGAGTTGGAATTCTGAGTGTATACCATCCGGTCAGATGGCCACAATATGATGTCAACTTCATGTTCATTACGGAAGGGGTATTTGTGTGTGTGAGGGGGGGGGAGCTGTTAACTGGATTTGAAAAACTTGCCTGATAGACCAAATTCGCATTCTCGTGCATACCGAATAGCTCCGGTGATGCATTTAATGGCAAATTGAGCACATATTCCTTGAAATCTTGCAAAAGGTCCTCATCCGGTGGATAGTACAGACCGGATGACGAGTATTTGTACATTGGTTCCAAGGTTTTCGGGTGGAAGAATCGTTGTAAAATAGTACGCAAACAACGCTGATCCCAGAAATCAGTCACGCGACCTCCGTATGTGATCTACAAATAAGCAATGCAACCTGGTGAGTAGTAGAAAATGACAGCACCGCTATGTTTAAGTGGGATAGGGCATTGCGTATCCGATCAATAAGGTATACAGCACATCAAGTTCTCAACCCACTGAGCCTTCCAACCCCTCCCCTAACCAGAAGGGTCGAATCTCCTGTCCAGTGGACAGATATTCTCCATCCAGTGTGTCTATTTTATCCTATCGCCTGATCGACCTAGTGAATACATCGCAGTTCATCACCAATTACGTAGAATTACGGTTTGCTCACTACCCGAGATGAGCTAGTTGCCTATGATTCATCAACCCAGTCAGGACCCTCGGAAATTAGCTGGTTGCTTCTGTGGAAATAGACCGCCAGGAGAAGGCAGTGTGTACAACTTCCTCCTCGCTAAGTCCCTGAACCCCGTTTACTGGGGCGGATTTCCCAGATCAGCCAGAATTGATGGCTATGTAAATGCGTTATCTTCTTCATGAATCTGCTCTCAACATTCTAATCATGATTCTACTGTTTTATCCAAAATGAGAAATCAAAAGACAGCAATGAAAACTGGCGCACGAAAGTGCAGGGTTAATAGTTATAAGAACTGAACTGAACTGATAGACCCGTTTAAGTTCAATCAAATCAGTGCTTTCATTTTACTCAAATTGAGTTAACCAACCTAAATTTATTGTTATTCCTCTGTTATTCTTCACAACAAACTTTGTTTTGGCATATGCCTCAGGCCGAACAAGCTATACTGAAAGTATTTTTGAAACTAAGAAATAGGTCGCTTAGTATTCACTCCGCAACCATGACTAAAAACTGCTTCTGCATTATGCGTTTTATCGTGTTCTATCCCTTTTGTAAGAAATGCTATCTACTCATTGAATCTTATGAAATCCAACTTTCAAAGGGGAAATTCGTTGTGTTTAGAGAAAATGAAGTGTGAACTGAAAATCTAGCAAGCATTGAACAACTGTTTCGAACTGGTTGGGTCTCATCATCAATACGAATCCATTGACCTAACTGAGGATCTAACCCGGGACCTGACGGATAGGACGCCAGCATACTACCCACTTGGTCACCAGGCAACTAATCAGACAGTTGTTCATTTTCACACGATATACAATAAGTAATTAGGTTGTGAAAGTTTCCAACCGAGTTTTAACCCTCTAGAGGCAAGTGCTGAGACGAGCGAGGCGTCATGCCCACAACAAGCTCACCAGGTGGGTCAATGGATTCACACAATGCTGATGACATCCAACCAGGTCGAAACAGCTGTACATTGTTCGTTATCTTTTCATTTTATAGTTCATTTGCTATATACACGACGAATTTCCCGTTTGAAATTGAATCCAATCCTCTATTACTGGCATGAAATCCAAATTTATTCAAATAGTAAAAAAAAACTGAAATTTTTCTGTCAAGAAAATAGATTTTAATTAATGACTAACAAGATAATTGTATATATTTGTCCCATCAAAATCACTGAACCTTTCGATTCAGTGGTTGGTTCCTGGTTAGTTTTGGTCGGATAGTAATATGCTCATACCGCAGAAGGTAAACGGATGCTAACTTTTGGTTTGGTCAATAAAAAATATAGACAGCAACAGTCAAGGAGAAATCGAAGTCGAAATAATGTTTGATGTTTGTCTCCTAATCCTGTTCTCAACCCATGTAATCAGAGTAGATCGAAGTATTCAGGAGTGGTAAAGGGAAAAGTGAGTCCTAAAGATTGTCAGTTTGCTACTAATTTATGGGAGCCCACGATGTAGAAATTATTGTTCTGAGTGTCTCGAACCGACGAGGCCTTTGACTTAAACGTCACATAAATCCTTTGTGGGATTTCCAACATAGACCCCGAATATCTAGTCAGAACTTGAAATCTGGTTCCTCGTATGAAGAATGTGTTGCTAAACAGTGTAATGTGTTTGTTGAGGTTAAGCTCAATGAAATGATTGACTCTCAGTAGAGTTAGTCATCTGTTCAGCCGTGTTGTGAGTTAGTTAGGACACAGTGGTTACACAAACCCGTTCCATCTACATTTCCAACCCTGGTTTGCGAACAGGTATGGTGCTATCGGGATGTAGCCTCATAGTTTAGCTGGTAGAGCGTGCACTGTACAAAAGCGTGGGCGGCGTCCATGAGTGGGTTCGAGTCCCATCGAGGCGACTAAACTTTTCACAATTTCAACAATAACTACAATAATCGTAGGAAATAGTAAAAGGGAAAATTCGGATACAAACGAGAAACACTGTGAAATGGGAAATCCCAGACGACAAATCCGAGTGAGCCGGTGAATATGAATCACTCATGGGAAAGAAACCTGACTTCACCTTTTTCCCGAGTACAAATATCAAGACAAGATGAAAGAAAACNAGAAAACATCCAGCAATGTATAGATATAGGTAGATGGAAAACATTCTGCGCTTGCAATGAGACTGGTCACCAGATCAGAATCAACATTTACGAGCAGCTACTTGCCAGGTCGGATCTAAAATTATGTGTGCTCAGTGTCCCTTCTGAAACTGTTAAGAAAGGTGGAGGTTTGTTGAGCATTAGTGACTTTGATAGCTTGCCAGAACCAGGACTATACCTTAATCTTTGACCATCGTTCATGGGTAGCTAATATCCGTGATATGCAAGATCTTGGCTCATCACACAAGAGGAAGTAGTGTGTATTAGGATTAGGATTGTTGTTCTCTCTTGAGTTCCACACTGTTTGCAGCGGTAACTGTTATTCCTATTATTATTGTTTTATACAAATCCAACCAAAAGCATCATGTGTGAAAGTGCATACACAGCACAAACCTCCGAGGTCACATAGGTCAAAGCATCCCAAGGGACTTCAGAATCCTGACAAAACATGTCCAGATTGAGCAAGGCACATTCGCGATCGGAATCGTTGAAGTCGTATCCGATATTCCAACCCAATGGACCGTATTTTTTCCGTTCCAGAATGATCGCATGGAAGAAACAGATTCCAAACACCAACTTGCGCCACGTTAACCCAAGCACTGGAGAATTCGAAGAGAAGTGCATAAAATAGTCATTCGTGTCTGACATCAAAACGATGTGCAAAATCAATAAAGCATGAATAACAGTTTTCGTTTCTCTTCCGTACTGATTATGAAAATGCATAAACACCAGCAAATATTGAAGTTAAAACAGGGGAAAGGACAGAACTATAGCGATAACAATATACAATAGTCAAACAATTACCCCTTCTTTAAGAAAATTGTCTAACGTTTTTTTCCAGCTGAGCTTCCAAGTCATCATTTTTTTCGTAGATTTTCCTAAATTGATGACTCTCGTGTTTTCTCCGAATGGGATTTATTTCACTTTAAGAGTATTCGACCAACAAGCATGAAATTCCTTTTCCTTTATTTAGAGTCAGACGGACGAACTGAACTCAATCGATACATTTGCTGCGCGCACAGGACCAGCCACAATCAGTACAACCTCTCGCGGTCACGTGATGCAATACGTGATTCACGTGGTTGCTGGAA